TATCTGAGTTGCCCGTGCCCTGACTTAGATAATCCCTAAGGTTGTTCTGTGAGTTTGCTGTGCCCTGACTTAGATCAGCCAAGAGGTTGTTTCAGATTTGGATTTGTGAGCTAGTCATGCCCTGACTTAGATCAGCCCAGAGGTTGTTTTAGGGTTTGATCTGTGAGTCACATGTGATCAACTAAGAGATTGTTTCAGAAGGATGCAGCTGAAAGTGATTTAATGTCTACATGGCTATACACATCCCACAATTCGACCAACTTCTTCAACTCACCCTTTTTGGTACAAGCAGGAATGAAATCTTTCTCTTCAAACTCTTCATCTGGTCCAATATGCATGACTACACGGTCCGTAGCATCAGGGGTTCTTATCAGTCGACGGCGTATTTCTGAGACTAATAAAAAGGAAACAATCAATGATGAAACCTAATGAAAAATTTAAAAAATTCTGTAAGAGGGAACTATTCCTACCAAACAAATGTTATGATTTTTAAGGATTCCCTTTTACAGATTTTTTTTTGTCAACTAGAAGATTAGGATACATAGTTTGAGCATCCTGGTTTTAAAAAAATTCACTTTTTGGTTTGTCAGTTATGATTTTACAAATGAATATTTTTGATGGCATAAGAAGGGTCTTGATGTTGACATAGCAACGTCTTACGTCCTTTTTTCATGTTCACTGTGATCTTTTGTTTATTGCAGGGGCGGATCCAGTATTTTGTTCAGGGAGGGGTGCTGCGCACAAATTTAACCCAGGGAGGGGTGTACCCCTACAGTATTGGTTATTTTCGAAGTAGGGGCACAAAGTGGAATCAGGAAGGGGTGCGCACCCCCTGCACCCCTCCCCTGGATCTGCCACTTTATTATTGTCTTTGGCTTTCCTGGTTTACTTGCTGTCATATTATAGCCCTATAATTTCTTTAGTTCATAATTGAGAGTGTATGTCAGGCACGTGCACCCCCCATAAAAGCTTAAGGTCCGCTCATCCATCTCCTTTTTTTTGGTTCTGCTTTCTTTTGGTTACCTTTTTTTCTTKTTAGTTCTGCAAACTATTGCCTGTGCACCTCCCTGCAAGATCCCTAGTTACGCCACTGAGTTGGTAATAAAAAACGATCAATGGTTCGATTTTATTCGAAGTCCGCTCTCCCTGTAAAAGTTCTGTTACGGCCCTGTATGTCAAGGCACAAAACACTTTCCAGCCTCCTTATACTAGAGGTCAGATAATTTTATAAAAACATTTTTCATTACCTTTGTGACTTCCAGGTATGAACCACAAGCACCCGTTTTCCAAAGTACAATCCTCTAGAGGAACCCAGATACCCAATGCACTAGGAGGATGTGTGTATAGATATGTTGAATCCCTGTGAGGAAAAACTGGGGGGGGGAGGAGGAAAGACAAAATTAGTGGAAATATTGGTTGGCAGAACACAAAGAAGGCAACCATGCATGGCAGCATGGTTCTCAACACTTGTCCAGTGTTCTGCTAATTCCCAAGGGCTTTATAAACTACACACAGTACAGTTTTATTACTTTCTTTAAAAAAAATAAAAATAAAAATAATTTTGATTAGGAATGATACATTATAAAGTGTGCGCATGTGCTGTGTGACATCTGGCCTTACTGAATTTTGGGATTTTTTCCTACTTACCTTCCCCTCCTATTCCTGGTTGCTAAAAAAAAAAGAACAAAACATGAATGGAAAAATAATAATTCTAAGCGCTTAGTAACATATGTTATTTAAAGGAATAAATAAATAAGATAGATAATATGATTATAAAGAAAAAGCTATTAACTTAAATAAATGAGTCTTGAGTTTAGATTTAAATAAAGATTAACTGGAAATATCTGTAATTGGAGAAGGTAGACAGTTCCAGAGGAGCGGAGCAGCAACTGAGAAAGAACGTAGACCATATGACTTGAGATTATAAGATTTTGAAGACAGCAACAAGTGAGAAGACGAGCGAAGATTTCTAGCAGATTTGTGAATGGTGATGAGTTCCTTGAGGTAAACAGGAGAAAGACCATGAAGCGCTTTAAATGCTAGTAGAATTATTTTAAACTTAATACGTTCAGCCACAGGAAGCCAATGTAAATCGATAAGGACAGGAGTGATGTGATTATGTTTTTGAGATAAGGTAATGAGACGAGCTGAGGCGTTTTGAACAGTTGGAAGTTTGTCAATAAGATGCTTGGGAAGACCAAAAAGTAACGAATTGCAGTGATCAAGTTTAGAAGTTATAAACGCATGAACAAGAATTTCAGTGATATTGAGGGAGAGGAATTTTCTGATTCTAGCAATATTTCGAAGATGATAGAAGGCAGATTTACGGGTGTTGTTAATATGAGGAACCATAGATAAGCAGGAATCAAATATGACACCAATGTTACGTGCATGAGATGAAGTGCTAATCACTTTAGAACCAAAATGTGCTTCAAGGGTTTTTTCTCTGGGTTCTCCGATTTTCCTCCCACACTGTAAAAATCAACTTTTAAATTCCAATTGGAATCCAGTGGAAGAAGAGCCACTCTGGAATCCATGCACTGTTAATAATCTTACATTATTTATAAACTAGACTCCGAGTGAATTGTCATTTTGATGTGCTATGGTTTGAAGGTTTGTACTGTGGTACTCCATCCAGGGGAATCAAACACTGTAAGTGGGAGGACATTTTTGTTTGCCTGAGGATGAGCTTATAATTGGGTGGGATGGCTGGTATGATATTACCGTATGTACCTTGAAAATATACATGCTCTGTGGCACTATTGGGTTCTTCAATCCTAGTGACTTTCCAATAGCCTACAGAAGACAAAACAAAATAATTCTTAATTAATGAACAAATAATTAAAAATGGAAAATGGGAAGAAAAAAATAGAACCCCCCCCCCAGCCAATCGGAATGCAAGATTTATAACTGTATTTTATAAAGGATAAACTGTATTTACTCTGATAAATGCAGGCCCCAAATACGACAAGATAGTGATAGAGATTGATTAGAAAACTTAATATCAAATTGCCTACATATTTATTACCTGAATTCTCTTGTCAAATGTAAATTTTTTGAAAACAGGATTTTGGCTATGCAGTGCTGTAAAGACAGAAAAATAAAAACTAAGATAAATCTTAATTCAACTCTCAACTCACAGACCAACAGTCTCAAATATAGATTCTTGAGGATCCAAGGACACGAGATAAATAATAATATTATAAGATCCAAATACCAGTCTGTCTGATGAGATCATTTTCAAATAGTCAAATAAACTATCAGAAACRACCTCTCGGCTGATCTAAGTCAGGACAAGGCTAACTCACAGATCGAACCCTGAAACAAACTCTGGGCTGATCAAAGTCAGTAGGGCACGGTTAACTCACAGATTGAACCATGAAACAACCTCAGGGCTGATCTAAGTCAGGGCACAGCTAACTCACAGATTGAACCATGAAACAACTTCTGGGCTGATCAAAGTCAGGGCACGGCTAACTCACAGAGTCAAAGTACCCTGAAACAATTTCTAGGCTGATCTAAGTCAGGACATGGCTACTCACAGATCAAACCCTGAAACAACCTCTGGGCTGATTTACAGATTGGACCATCAAGCAACCTCTACAGTAATACAACCAAATAAAGTAATACATTGAAAATAATTTAAAATAGAGATTTTTCTTGGTTTACCATGGCCAACTTTGTTGATAGCCAAATGTCTGTCTCTCAATAATTTGCCTGCAAATGAAAAGAAGATAATTTTATTTGATAAATAATGTCAGCCCTTTGAGCCTCTCATTTTTCTGTCCTGAACAAGAGGAAAGTGAGCTCTGGGTATGAGATTGGCAAAAACCATTGTCGTCTTACAGGACCCAATTTATAGGGTGGGGTTATCCAGTACCCTTCACCAATGGAAGTAAACTCTTGAACTTTGTCCTCAAATATCTCCGAAACTCAAGTCAAATCACATAAATGAACCTATTGAATGTTTGAATGTTTGCTAAAATATAAATAAATGACATTATTTTTTGCATATAGGCTTAGTCACTCTCATAGACCAGGGGCATAGGCAGGGGGCAAGGGGACCGCCCCCCCCCCCCCCTTCTTGTGGCAAAATAATGACCAGCTTTTTAGAATTTATAATATGGGAATTTTTAATTTAAAAAAATGTAAAATGAAATGTCTGGTTTATTTACTTTGCTTTGGCATTTTGATGGCACCAAACAAATTGGAGGGTTTTAAAATTTGGACCTCCCCCTTTGGAAAATCCCAGCTATGTCCCTGTGGACACTGAGAGGCATAGATGATCTAATTAGGTCAYTAAGAGAGGTCGGGAAGGGGATGTTTACTATTACCCGCCATCTAAATCAATAAAATTAGGTCCCTATTTTGAACCATTGTTGACCTTACCCCTAAAATCTTAGCCTCCTCACCAGCCTTTTTTCATCAGTCTGCCATCTTATGGACTGATGTGAAAAATGGCTGCTGCATGAAGAGGCTCTTAGACTGTTTGACCAGTCTCACTTGCTCACTGGATATTTCATTTCTCCACAGGCAGCCCACCAAAAGATATAATAAGCAATGACAATTCCATTACTTTATGAATACATAATAATAATAATAATAATAATAATAATAATAATAATAATAATAATAATAACTTGTAAAATAAAGTCCCTTGAATACAAGAATAATTATTCACATACCACTGTTATCAAATGCACCTTCTTCAAAAAATGCTCTTATTTTGTCTCCACTTGTTAAAAAATAGTCATCTCCAACCTAACACCACCAAAATCACACCAGTTAGGGTTATACATAAGAGGTGTGAGGGGGAACTTTCCACCAAGCAAAATGAGGCCTGACAGAGTTTTAATCTCTAGCGGAGGACAATACACCATTTTTGAATTACAAATTACAGGTAGTAGCTTTGTGTACAGGTTAACGAAGTGTTTCATAGGTTTCCGAGCACACAAGTGAGAGTTTGAATTTTTTCGAGGATTTTGGTTCTCCTCACTTAAGCAAAACAATTTCAATGGCAGGCAAGATTTGAACCTGGCAGCCTTGATTTTTCCCTACTAGCAGAGTCTCTGTTCTCTTTCTCTCCCTTCTTTCAGGTGGGGAGGAAGGAGACTCTGCCGATGTAGAGCGTTTCCTTTGATACACCGCTGTCCACGATCGTGGACAAACAAAACTGTTTTTTAACTGATTACATCTAGTGCGCATGAGCAAATGTAACACACTGTGGCGCYAAGTATTGTTTGACGAGAGCGGCTGTCAAAATCATGACAGCATTGCTAAATTACGCCATGCATGCGTGACAGAAATAACTACATCAGCAGAGTCTATTTTCCTCTCTCAACCAGAACAAAAGGCAAATAGGCTCTGCTAGCAGGGAACCTTGATTTGCACCAAATGATATTACAATTTTATCCCAACCCTAAACCTAACCACTCGGCCATGGCTTCATTTGTGCATACATTAAAATATTCATTATAGTATAATATTGCTATGGTTACGACACGACTACTAGCCGAATGAATTTGCATATCAAAATTTGAACTTGGATAGAGTTCCCCTAGAAATTCCTGTACATGAAGTTACGCACAAATTACATCTGTGTTCCTTGATTACAGACGCATTTACTCAGGTTTATAGCTTTAAATCAGTGTCAAAATATTCACAAATATTAACAACGATAAAGTAAAGAATGCATATTCTAATGGATATGACCAGGCTGTGTTCGACAGCCTTCCCCTCCCCACCGGTGCACTCGGGGGGTATTGGTGCACGATGAATGAGTAAAAATACACGTGACAAAATTTTATCTTACGTAAGTCTCGTTTTCATATTTCAATACAAATGCAAATAAAAAAGACCATTTACTGTATCTAACCTGTTTGTCTCCTGTAGTGAAAACGCTTTTAGGGTTATCAGAGAGGTCCATGTTTTCAAGAATCTCGTACATCTCTTTTCTCAGACTTTCCACATCTTCTGTACAGAAGTCTTCGATCACCAAATACCCATCCTGCTCGAACTAAATGTACAGTTTTACATCAACAACCGAGCATTTTTATTTTCCCATGGATTTTGAGGAGGTAACGAAAATACAAACCTTTTCGAATTGCTCCTGAGAGAGTCCATTTGCCGCCATCTTGGATGTACCACAGGAAGCCCAATACTGCGATACAGTTAGTACCAGTAGGTCCCTGTAGAGTGGCCAAAAACGCAAAGGAGAGGGGAAGGGGGCAATTTAAAAATAAATGAAATTCCAGTACACCATAGATAAAAATGTGTTTAGTAAAACGATGTTTCATTTTATTTTTACACGAGACAAAAACGTAGGTCTTTAACTAACTATCTTTTAGAAAAGATATAAACGAAACTTGGTAGTATTGGTGAGACCTGTGTTTTCAGTCATCATCACCGACAAGGTGCGGAAAGCAAAAGACAACCGTTTCCATCGACACAACGGGGCCGACAATAAATGGTTGAGAACCAACATGGCATTGATGATATCCGGAACACCCGGGGGGGGGGGGGGGGGGGGACCCCCCCAACTGGGGGGGGGGGGGGGGGCCCACCAGCAAAAAACAAACCCCACCCCAAAAAATTGATTTTTTATTTACTTAGTTTTACGTGAA